GTCAATATTCATTGCTTGAAAAAAAATATAGTAATTGTATATGCCAGGGGCCGGGAACCTTTTTGACTAAGAGAGCCACAAAAGCAAAATATTTGGAAATGTATTTCAGTGAGAGCCATATATATAGTACAGTGTTTTGATGCGAACGAAGCATGGGGCGTGTCAAAGTGCCGCTCTGCATTCGACCGTTTCATCGATGGTATTTTGACGTTGCAAATCAGACACACCGCAGAACCCGTTCTCTCCACAAAGGCGAATCCTTCGGTCCATTCGTCCTGAAGTCTACCAAACTCGTCATCTTTTTTTCTTTTCGCCATCTTATTCGCTAAGGATTAGCTTTGAGCTAATGGACGAGCGGGTTGATTCAAAAGGGGGCGTATATCTGTTTCCACAGCAACGGAAAGGTTGGCCAGTATCATCCAATCAAAATGGCTCCTGGAGCCAACTGCAGCCCAAACAGGAAATAAGCAGTGAAAAATCGATCGATGGATGCATTAATAAACAAACGAGAATATTTTTTTTTTTTATCTGCGAGCCAGATGCAATCATCAAAAGAGCCATATATGGCTCGCGAGCCATAGGTTCCCGACCCCTGGTATATGCCTTAGCATAGCTAAGAATTACAGCTTACTGCGGGTATTTTTTTAAGTTTGCGTTGTTTGGGCACATGTGGGTGTGTCACCTGTGTATTCATGCTATTGTATTGCATATCCTATCCGGGCCATTTGAGATTTAAAAAAAAAAAAATATATATATATATATATACACACACACACACACACACACACACAGTCATACCTCGGTTTTCGAGCATCTCTGTTCTCGACCAAATTAGTTTTCAACCAGAAAATTTGAGATTTTTACACCTCAGATTATGACCGAAAATCGATTTTCGACCAAACTAAGCAAACCTGAATAGGCCATTCGACTCCTCTCGGCTTCCTTACACGAGGAAGTGATGCTTCCTCGTGTAACGTTCATTGTGAGCAGACATGTTTGACTGTTTTTTTTTTTTTTTTTTCCTTGCGTAGTGTATTAGCCCCTAATCATGGGCTAATAAAATAGTTTCGGATTTCGAACAAATCAGTTTTCGAACAGCCTTCTGGAATGGATTATTTTTTTTTAATAAAAATGTAGTTTTTGTTAAAATGCACTGTTCCAAATTATAACGCACAGCAGAGACAAAGTGTAAAAAACTGAAAATAGTCATTTGTTGAAATTTCAGCTTTCGGAGGTTGTATTTGCCAAAATCAAAAGCTATCTAAATTAAAAACATTGGGACAGGTCAAGTTACATTCTAACATGTCTGTCTATCCAATTGGCTGGCAACATCTTCTGGGTGTACTCTGCCTACTGCCCGAAGACAGCTGCACGTCCGCGACCCTTGTTGGATAAAAGCAGTTCGGATAATGGATGGATGAATCGCTTATTTGCCAGCAGTTTTGCAAGTCTTGCATCGATTGAACTTGAGTGAGTTTTTCCTAGATTCTTTGCTTGAACTTATTTGAAAGATATCTGTGTAGCCTCCCAAAGCTACTGTTTGGATGTGAACTGCCTCCCACCCTCATAAATCTGTCAAACAGGACAAAAATTAACTTGCATTCAAGAAACTACCGTTTTGATGACTACTAAACATTTCAGTTCCCTATGGTAAGTACCTTAGGCATTGTAAACTAGCACTAATCATCTGTTCTGAACGTTAATGTAGGCTTTCAGCCTGCACAACATAACCTCATCTTTTATTCTTTTATCCATATCTGCGTTCGAAACCAAATGGTTGCACCAAACCACCACCAAGTTTTATAGATAGTCAAACCTCGGTTTTCGAACGTCTCGGTTCTCGGCCAATTCGGTTTTCGACCAAAAATTTAGAGTTTTTTATGCCTCGGATGATGAACAAGTTTCGGTTCTCGAACAAACTGAGCGCACTTGAATGCACCATTTGACTCCTCTCGCCTTCCTTACACAAGGAAGTGACGCTTCCTCGGGTAGATGAAGAAGTGACGCTTCCTTGTGTTGCTTTCTATTGTGAGCAGACGTGTTCAGTAAACATTTTTGTTTTAAAAAGAGCGTGGTTTCGGTTTTCGAACAATTTCGGTTTTCGAACAGCCTTCTGGAACGGATTATGGACGAAAACCGAGGTTTGACTGTGTGTGTGTGTGTGTGTGTGTGTGTGTGTGTGTGTGTGTGTGTGTGTGTGTGTGTGTGTGTGTGTATATATATATACACACACAGACACACACTTTTTTTTTTTTTCGACACACACTTTTTTTTTTTTTTTTTTTTTTTAACGCAGCTCGTCAGTCAGCAAACAAGGTGGTCCTGAGTTGTTTTGTGCCATCTGTTGGTCGCAGCCACCCAGTGAAGGCCAAAGTGCCTCCATAAATTTATAAAGGATAGACAGAATTCTTCATAAGGAACATGTAATTCGCTAATCATAAAATAGAAACAGTGTAGGCTTAAAATATTACTTTCTTTTACATTTTATTCCACAGACCAGATTAGCAGCACACAATAACAATTGGTTCCCAGATTTTGGTTTGTGAGTCTTGAACCCACTAAGCTAGCAACTATTGTTTGCGCTGCAGTGAAAGAGTGGTCTCAGCTGCAGCATGCAGTGAAAGCTTTGTTAGTGCCACTTTAATGTGTGTGTGTTTGGGAAAGAATCAGCAAGAGGGGAGTGGACCTGGAGGGGGAGGGAATGTGTTTGCACCAGCTGGGATGTGTCCTCTCACTTCCTGTGCCTCCACGCTTGATTCTTCATCTCTGAGAGTTCCGGGTAGCCTATGTCATTGAGAGGAGATCACAAGGGATTTCTCAGTTATGTGGGGAGAGATTTTATTTGTAAATCTGTGTTCACACGGCAGTTCAATTCCAATTATTTTTTTGCCGATATGCCACATGTCAGATTTTTCTCATGCAGTGTGAACAGTACAATTCAGATTTTTTTTCATTTGAATTTGTTTTGCCAAATGCGCCCCGATTTCTTTCATATGTGGATATAAATCGGCTATGTATCTGGTGCATGTGCAGCATGAAAGTTGCAGTCGAGCTCATCCGACCTCAACAGGAGTACATCATCAAGAGTCAAATGTGCGCTCTGCACAACTTGATTCTAAATGTGAGACTATATTTACTTCCGTAAACACTGTGCCACATGACATTGTTTTTTTTTTTTAGTGTATTTGTTTGTTTTTTTTATGAGCGTGTCACTCAACATTGTGTCACTCAACATTGTGTTTTGTGCATGTCATATCGCGGACACATTTGTTTTTGTCATGTGAATGAGTACATAAGAAGAGTGGATTAACTTGCAAGTGTAAGGGTAGCCTAAGACTCTTTGGTTGTGGTGTTATTTGTATTTTGACCAAAGTGGTCGCTGCACAGCCCCAATTGGTTGATTCTTTATCATTTTTTTGCCAGCATTAAACTCTAAAACTATTGTTGTACAGGTGCATTGTCATTGGCATCTGTCTCATTGGTGTATAGGTTTTTCAAATATTTCTGCGGTTAAATCGAGTTTCCATGACAAGCCCCGGTGCTTAACTGGGCCAAGGGCTGAATTATTGAAGATGGGCTATTGATAAGCTCCACCCTTAACTGTTCTGTCAATGGTCGAATTAGTTCTCAATGTATTTAAGGTTTTTATCATAATGCAAGACTTTTTAGTGGATATTAGGAATAAGTAGCTAATGCACAATTGTCTCCATTTTAGCACACCACCACTGACCGCAATGTTGGTGCTCCTACCGAGTGACAGTCACGGTGGGGATATTGAAAGAGTCAAAAGTGTGGTTCCATTATTCAAAGGTTTATGGTGACAATGCACATTGCTCCAAGTGGAATCAAGTCTTGAAATGTCAGGGGGAAATGCAAGAAAGTTTAACAAACATAGAAAATGTGCCTCTCACCTCGCAGAAGTGCTTTGTGCTTCCTAGCTGTATGTACCAGCCTCCTTGCTCGAGACCTGTCTCAGTAGTTCGTTGCAAAATCCTCCACGGCAATAGCCTCACTTCCTGTCCGAACAGGACAGGAGAGAGGTGAAGTAGCAGTAAAACAGGCCAAAATCCCAATGCCAATAGGTAAGGCAGGGCTAAGGACTAGTAGTAATAGTCGTAGCAGTAACACTAGCCCAGAAGCCCAAGCACACAAAACACTGAGATCACTTCAGACAGTTTAAAATTTTCGTTATTTTTTTTTTTTTTTGCCTAAAACACTCGTAACATTCAGTTTCCTCCTTCTATAGTCGGTATGATGAGCAGGCCTGGCAGGGGGCCAGGACTGGCATCAGAACGCTGGCTTGTGAGAATGGGGAGGCGTGACTCTTGACCAGAAGGGAGACATCCAGACGCTTGGTTTCCCCTAAACCATGTGACCAGCTGTTTGTGAGCGTGACACAAACAAGTGGCCAAGCAGGTTAACCGTGGGCTTCTCTGTCATGTGTCACTGTGAAGCGCTCCCTCTTTTGGTCTTCTTTGAAGTGACTCTCTGCTTCACCATTCTAAACGCTACTGCTTGGCTTGCATGAAAGCCGATTCTGATCCTCAGTACATTTTAACAAGTCATAACAGGACATTCTCTATTTCTGTTTATGTATAGTCTACCCTTCTCCTCGTGTCGGCTGAGCAGTCGTCTTGCTTTTTCCTACTCAAATCCATTTCACATTTTCCCTTTAACCCTCTCCGAATGGTGAAATGTACATAGTGTACTCTTTTAGAGTGTGGGGCTTGTTTGGTGTTGGCTGGACGAGGTTGTGTGGGGTGGGGGTTACACCTTGGGGAAATAAAATCCCTTTTAGAAATAACTATGCCTTACCATTGTTCACACATTAATTCTGTCATTTTCCCCTTATTTAAAATTTCCTTTTTGTGTACCAAATGTCCTCATGTAACTTAATCTGTGAAATTCTCCCTCTCTTGCTCTCTTGAAATAAGCAATTGGAAAAGATGAACGGAACAATGTGTCAGAGTGGTGGTTTTCCTTATAATGCACCTTTGCAGAATTGCTCGGGTTCCGCAGTCACTGGATGACAGAATCTTCTCCACGCAGCCTGGAGTTGCTGCCGTCTACAGCGTGAGTACGCACGCATGCATGCGCGCGCGCGCACACACACACACACACACACACACACACACACACACACACACACACACACACACACACAGCTGTGTATCTTGACACATTTCACACTGAAATTAAAGCATGAGTGCTTAACCATGTGCAAGCACAGTGGTACCTTGACTTAATGAGTTTAATTAATTCCGTGACCAAGCTAAGCTTCAGTAACTCACAATTTCCCCCAAAGAAATGAATTGAAATGCCGTTGATCCGTTCCAACCAGAAAAATGGCACCGTATAGTTTCAAATCCTAAAGAAACACACTAATAAAGAATCTAAAGAAATAGACTGGATTTTGAAAGGCATAATTCCTTTCTCTACTACATCTGCATATTGGATGTGCGCCTTTTAAGGGGTGTGGCCCAGCAATGACATCAGCAGTCGAGATGGCCGGTGTGAGCGTCTTGGCGTTAGTCATGACCTACAGCGTGTCCTTCTGAGAGTTTCTTAATTTGTATTTGTTAGATACCACTTCAGTATGCAGTCTATATTAACTCATTCACTCCCAAAGACGTTTGTAAACGTCTTTTCAGACTTGGTCCAGAATTGGCTGGTCGTGAATGAGTTAATAATTTAAGCCTGATTCAAAAAAGTATATGTGAGCGTCTAACATGGCACTGTGGAATAGCAGATGTGGGTTGCCCCCCCATCTAGCAATTAAATTCAAGTTATCCCGCTTTTTCAAACCAAATGTGCTTTTGGTTAAGAACTTACTGATCAGTTTGCAGGGAATGTTGTAAAATCATTGTAATATTCATCAATTAAAGCGGTGCCCGTAACGTGAAGCGTTTTGTTCTGTGCGAGAAGAGCGAACAGTCCCCTCATGTTACATGTCCTATACAGCTTCCCCTCCCCCACACCATCACTCCATATGTCCTCCGCACCAATCAGTTGCCCAAGCAGAGCAGGCCCCTCCCCTGGCAACATCAGCAAGATTAGTTGCTTTATCGTGGGTCATGTGAGGGAAGTGTGCCACACAAAAGAGCTGGAGAGACATGCACAAACGATGGCCACTGCACCCCGGGTCCTGGTGCCTGCATCTCATCGGGAGCAGTGCGACGCGCAGTGCTCCCGATGAGCTGAATGTCGCCGTTGTCGAGAAGAAAAAGGCCCCTTTGAGAGGAAAGAGTTGTCTTGCTGAAACGCGCGGGCTTCTTGTTGCCTTACTGCAGTGTCTGCTCTCATTCCGCGGTGTGTCCGAATGGTGAGAATGGTGTCAGCTGCTGCAAGTGACACCTTTTCTGCCGCACCGTCAATTCGAATGACCCAATGTGCACTTTCACACAACATGCCGTAATCAGATGATTAGGCTGGATTTACATTGCACATTTTAGTGCCCATTTCTGATTTAATGCCAATATTAGATGACCACATTGCACATAAATGACCCTACAAGCATCAACAGCAAGCAGTGACAACACAGAAGTAAAGAACAAAACAAATTGAAAACGTTGTACTGTTATTTCATGTTAAATGTAGCTGTTGTGAAGGTGCTACTATTATTGCATTGCATTGTAGATAGTGTTTAGTTGTCCTGGGACCCCCATCGCCCAATGGTTTATTTGTGGCTGCACGCCACATTACACTACTGGCTACCGGTGGCAATTGTTAGTTTATTTCATGATAGCCACGGCTCTTTCATATTTAGACCACATGCGTCGATGCTTTTGCTGTCAATTCAATATAGAGAGACCATATCGGTTTTTTTTTTGTTGTTTTAATCCTCCCCACAATCTTAAAATACATTTAAAACTAATAAAACAGTTTTAAGAGTACTGTATTCCTTACCGTCTGTTCTCACTGTCAAGATAAAATGAGTATGAGTCGGTATGTTTTCTTACCCTCAGTGAGACATACCAATACATAAAACAAAAAAAGGATTCAGGCATGTACATATAAACCCCGGAAGGTTTGAACAAATGATATTATTTCGTTTTATGTTTCCACTAGCATAATGCTGACATATAATGCGAAACACCACAAACTGGCCAAGGGAAATTTGCATCGATCTTAGGGCAGGAGCGCCCAACCATTTGATTGCGGTCGACTTATTCCATGTTTTATGTTAGCTACAGATTGCGCACCCTATCAGTCTCACGTCGTCAAAAACAAATATATATATTTTATTTTATTTTTAAGAAAGAAAATAGGTCATCTTTTTATGTTAACAAAACCTCACTTCCTGTCCCTTCAAAGTCAGCTAGTAGCCCAGAATTTTAGCGCACCGGTCAGTGCTCCAAGACCCAAGCAGTGCGAATCCAGCCTCCAAATGATGACTTCAACACTAGTGTCAGACAGCTAGTCGCTTTCAACACAGCGTGGTGGGAGAAGTGTCAGACCTCACACCCCTGCCAGCATTTGCGTGTTCCGTGTGTATTACTAGCATCACTGGTTGTATCTTAACCGCACTGTTTTTCCCATCCTCCAGCTCCCCAGGCACGCTGGTCCCCCTTTCACCCCTCACGACATCACTAAGGGACACCCAAGCTTGGCAGGCACCCCGCCCGGTCATGCCCACTCCCCGGCGCTCTCTCAGGTATCCATATCCACAGCTACCACGTATCGCTATCCTAAGGGCTGGGAGACGGGCGGAGGGGTGAGTTTGTGTGACATTTGCCGCCTTCATCCTCTGTGCGTACTCATGTTTGCGATTTCTGCAATGTCTGCTTGTGTGTAAAGGACGTCTTTTTGTTTGGTTCTTAGCACTGGCATGAAATGTGCATGAGTTGAAATGAAAATATGATAAGAACTAGTTACATTTATCTATTCCTAAAACATAAATGTCCAATGGATGCTAAGCTAAAAAAAAAAACGGGTACGTAAATTAGCCATTTATAAATGAATGCAAAATTCCCTGTATATTTTGAAGACAGCACTTTCATTGTAATGGGCCTCATTCACCTCTATATGTGTAGAAATATTCTTACTGTGCACACAACTTCAGTGTATACTGTATGCAGAATTCCCGTCAGATTTGACACTTGCGTACCAACCAACTTTCTATGTTAGTAAATACGGCTTTTGGTTTAAATGCTGTTACTGTCTTAGTTTAAATGCATGTTGTTGTTTTTTTTTTTTTTTTTGGTGGGGGGGGTCATATTTAAATGTGATGGACAACACAATACCAGTTCAGTCGCATGTGAGGCTAATTTAGTAAAGTTAGTGCCACGTATTCCCGGGAAAATACGTGAGAGCATCACAGAAATCTTTGGTGTTGGCAGGTCGTTCGCCCACTGTGCGCCCTGGGAGCAGCTCTGGTCTTAGTGTGCTAAAAATAGCACACTCAGCCAGCACACTCTTAAATGGGTACAACCATAGTGATGGTAGCTCAGAGTAAAGGAGATAAACTGGCCCTCCACATGGCTCTGATGAGCAATAATGCGCCACAAGACTTGCAGACCTTCATGGTGCCACGATGTACAAGACGTCAACCCAAATTTTATAACATTTGCTGCAGCAACATGCAAATACTACCCGGCAGACTTGATAGCAAGATGTGCTGTTGTTCATAATACTGTGGCCGATGAAGTCTGTGCTCCTCAATTGACTTCAACCTGACCTCTACATCTTGTTATACCCACTCTCGACAGTCTCCATACAACCCTGGGCAGAATGCTGGCTCCGCCCCTCTAGTGTATTCTCCTCAGACACAGCCAATGAATGCACAGCCACAGAGTCGCCCGGTGAGTGTCACCCCAGCCCCCCTATGTCTCCCACACCACCGGTAACTGTGAGAGTTAGGCTTCTTAGAGCCCAGTGATCGGGAAACATTTTTGCTCTCGGGCCACGTTTTGATTTTGATTTTAAAACAGGCTGAGGTCATTTCGTAGATTAGGTGAAAAAGTAAAAATGTGATGTGAAGGTACACCATTAAAAAAAAACATTTATAATTTAATTTGATATTATTCATTTGCCCACACTTAAAGACATGCACGATCAGGGTCATTGACTGCTAAATTGACCACCAGTGTAAATGTGAGTATGAAGGGTTGTTTGTCCACATAAGTCCTGTGATTGACCTGTGCTGTCCTGTATTGGACCCTGCTTTTCAGCAGGAATAAACTCCAGCTCACTCACGACCCCTAACAAAGGCACACTATAGCAAAGGAATTATTTGCAATATATCAATGAATCAGTTATTTGATTAGATAAATGGATCGACAAATCAAGAAATAATTTTACTGAAGCAGTTTTAGGGAAAAGTAAAGTTCAAATTAAGGAAACAGACATTACAGCCCACTCCTGCTCTAACATCTTTCACACAAATTGACACCTCAGAGCCATCACAGTCTGTTAGACTTTGATCAGCCTTTCACACTGACTGGTGTGGAAGAACCTCATCAGGCACCTTTTGGTTGAAAGTGACACACACTGTGATACAGAGGTTGGTTTACAACATTTCAAGGTTATGAACAGCGCACCATGAACTAGTTTTGCACAGCAGAAAATAATACATTCATGCAGAGCACAGGAGCTCACACGCATTTCCCTTCCGTGTTTTCCGTATTTTTTCATTTGATTGTTTTATTTATGGCCTTGAAGTATTTTTTTTTATGTTTGTAGGTGTTATCTTTGCTTGTGTGAAGTGCCTTGAGTTGCCTTGTGTAAGAAATGTGCTATATAAATAAAATTGCCCTGCCTTGCCTTATTTTTGGCATGGAAATATCTTTCATAGTAATACTGGCATTACAGCATGACTTTGAGTATGGCGACTCTGTTAGCATAGGTTAGTGATGGACTACAGCGCATTCCGAAATGCAGATTCCGGTTATGTTGCCGCTGTAGGAATGGATCTCTGTCATAAATCGAGCACCCCCGACCCTCACCCCATGTGGTGTAATGTTCTCAATGAGTTCAAGCCCTGGTTAGTCAGTTAATTAAGACAAAGTTGCTCCATCGTGCACTCCTGCAGTTTGATCGCCATTTACCGTTTGCCACACTGCTCATCTCTGTCTCTTTTGTGCTCTTTCCTCTGCCTGCTTTGCCACCACTGCCTCAAACCTCCCTCCAATCAGTTTGCGACAGGCCCACGACAAACCCACCATCAGGTACATACTATGATGTTCCTCCTCAAAATGTTGATTTGAAAGCTTGGCAATGTACCGTTGAACTGATGATACAGTGGAACGATAGTTGACTTTTAGATACTAATTTCAAAAGGGTTTCTATCTCCATAGGCATTAATGTAAGTTGGTGATTAGTTAATGGAATTAATTTAGCATAACTTGTTACAATCAGGCTAGATTTACACACCTATTCCAAGTGCCCATTTCCAATGTACTATGATTTTTTTTTTTTGGACTGTTTACCTGTATATGTCCATTTCAAGAGATATTAATATTAGCGAAGTCACAAGTCGCTGCCCTCTTTATTCCTTTTTTCGTGGAAGGAGTGCTTCAAACACCTCTAAAATGCTCCAGAACAAATAAATTCAGGGGGAAAAAAAACTTGAAAACCAAAGTCCATGGCCTTACTGTAGTCTACGGCCTTCACTCCTCTTCTCACCAATAAAGTTCCATTTGTGCTATTTAAGTCGAGTATTGGGGGCAAGTGACATAATTTGAAACATAATGGTCACTCGATAAGTCTGCTTGAAGCACTCGTAATTTAATCCAATACAACGTTTTTGGTAGATATTTTTAAGTAAAACTTGTTAGCTAAAAAAACCAAAGGTTCCAGGAGATATGTTTAAAAATAATCAGGTTTTACTGTTTTACTCATTTTTTTTTTGAAGCAGGTTTTCTACAGGTGATATTGCATAAAAAGGTTACCCAAAGACCTCACTCATCCCGACACAAAAAAGTGAAACCGATTATTGGCATTTACATTAAATTCACGAGAAAAATAGGATTTGAGTTACTAGTGTTTTGAGTTACATATTTGGTCATGGAACGAATCAAACTCATATCTCAAGGTGCCAGTGTATACTGGATCCAAGAGAAGACCAGGACACGTGAACATGTTATTACGGGGGGTACGAAGCATCCATTAATATCTGCTACAGTACTGTATGTGATCCTGAGATTTGACTCCTTTTGTTCCAATGTCACCAGATTCAGAAAAAATGCCGTACTAATGAGGTCATGTCTGGCCGTGTAATCAGTGTTATTGTCACCTTGAGGATGCTTACATGTCAAATTACTGACGGCCTGCTTTGTGGCTTGCTGAGTCATCATGCCCTTCACACTCACCGCCTACTCCAGATGCAAAACTATTTTCGACCACTTTCTGTAGCATTTGACATTTTTTTTTTCTGACAAGTCATGTGGGGTCAATGAGTGGGGCGTTTAGTGTCATTCGTGTCAACACACACACACACACACACACACACACACACACACACACACACACACACACACACACACACACACACAGTGCATGCACTGGCTGTCACTAACTGGCGCTATGCTCTGTTGTGCCACCACGGAAGTGGAGTCGGAAAGCAGATGAAGCCAAACAGTCAGGCTTTTTATCCCAATGGAGAAATGTCCATTGTGCTCTGAGTAAGACACTCCATGTGTAGCCATGAGCAAATTCATTCACTTGGTTAAGAATGCTGTTTATTTTATGTCGATGACGTATTCTTTTTAGTTTTTGCATACTTGTTTTTTTTTTTTTTTTGTGGGCGAATGCATTTGCGTGCATGCTCACAAAAAGAGCCCCTGTAAATAATCACGTGTCATAATGCTGCCTTGATTGAAAGTCAGAGTATTACATCCAAAAGTAACTGTCAGGATTTACGCTGCTTCAAGTGTCACGATTCGTGTGTGGGTGTGCGTGTTTGTGCGTGCGTGTGTGTGTGTGTGTGTGTGTGTGTGTTTTCACAAGGTATCTAAGATTGATTATTTTGATGAAACTGGGAAAAAGACAATTGCAACATGCAAGGTGTCGAACTCGAAGAGAAGATAACATCAACAGACTACATTTCCATTGATCTGACAGACACATGATAGCTCTGTGAAACTCAGCTAGCTAGGTTAGCTCGACAATTAGGTCACCAACAGCTGGTCAAAGAATTCTTGGCGGTTCTGTGTTTAAAACAGTTATTTTCTGGCATGTAGTCAATACACAGAGCACTTTGCCATATTTGATGTGGCAGCACACCCCTAAACTAATGCATATCAAATTGGCTTCATAGATTGACAACCTACAAATCGCACAAAGTTAATGCTTCTTTCAGTCACCCATTTACTCGCACTTGTTCAATTTGGGTAACCGATTGGCAACAGAAACAACATATGTCGGCTTTCAATTTGATGATTATCCATCTTTCACCACGTATTCAGCATATTTCAATTTTTATCACCTTATTAACAGTGTGCCACTCATATAAAAGTCTGTATGAAAAAAAGAGCACTCTTCTACATAATTTGTCGACTGCATACATTAATTTCTGAGTTGTTTTTGATTTCATTTTTAGAAATGTAAATGTTAAAATTAAAATTTTAGAAAGAATGCACTTTTTAGTATGATCAGTTCAAAATATCACTCCAACATGTGTTATGATTGAGCACGATTTCATGACCTGACTTGCGACTTGCTTGAAATTTGGTAATGACTCGACTTGCTTGATTTTCTTGTTTGTATGTCTTTTTGTGCTGTGTGCAATTGTCTGTCTTTGTGTGCTACATGGGTATGGACTTGTTTGATTGTCCTAGTGTGTGTGTGTGTGTGTGTGTGTGCGTGTGTGTGTGTGTGTGTGTGTGTGTGTGTGTGTGTGTTTATTTTGTGACACACACACACACACACACACATATACTGTGTGTGTGTATTTATATTGTGTGCACATAGAGAGAGAGAGAGAGAGATACGTATTACACACACACACATACTCACACTTGTCAACCAGCCAATCAATCCCGACTGAACCCGGTAAGCGTTTTCCACTCGAGCTCCCACTCAACGCCCATTGTGAGACTACAGATATTTTCGTCCGGGTGGTCCTCGTCGGGTCGACAGAAATGATCGCGTCCTTCCTGTGCGTGCGTGCATCTGTGTCTGCAGTCTCACCAGTGCAATTGGCTTTTGTCTCTTTCCTGCTCTCAAGGGAGGTTTCAGGCCCATCCAGGTAACACATTTGCACCGGCAGACCTGCATGGCATGATGATGACGATGAGGTGGATGAGGGTCATCACAACAGGCTCTCCCGTCCGTCCCTTCCTCATAACTCATATGACAGACCTCTGGCGTCGTCTTTTTTTATTTGTAGAGAGCAGGGGTGGGGAACCTTTGTCCTCCAATATTCAGAGGGCCACACTCAATTTAGGAACAAATCCTGATGCCAACATCAAACTCATGTTTTTTTATTAGTCATGATGAACATTTGTGAGCTGTATTTTGCCCACTGGCTTTAGGTTCCCCGCCCCTCTTGTAGAGGAAATGCTTCGACTTTTGTCCATTCATCATTTACTGTTTTGTCTTTGTGTATGACTCATCTCCCAACCAGCTTGCACACTTGCACAAATAGCATGTGGCATTAACAAGGCGCATATGCATGTTTTACGAGCATTTTTATCCCTTGAGTAGTAACACCGTGTATAGAGAACCTGTCCCTGGTTCATGGATGCACTCACTGGGAATTTATTTTAAACTTTTTGCTGGTTAACTTCCCAGATTTTTAACTGAGCAGTTTACAAGAAAAGCCATTGAAATTGATACATTGAGTGAGTGTTAGTGTTTTTCTACTTCCACCTTCCTCAACTCATCTAAACTTTCCCACTGTCAAAATATTCAGCTCATTTAGGACAGCCTTGTATTTGTTTAGATTTTTCATGCAATTAAAGAAATCACAAAAGCATGCAAAGTAATGGGGAAACGTGACAAATACCCAATTTCTCAACTGATTCAAGTCATTCAAACTTCAAAATGTTGAGGATTGCAAACATTACTATTTTCCAATATTTCTACTATCCCTGTTTTGAAGTGCACATTTTCCATGAGGAAATGTTTTTGATTTATTCTTTGTTTAATGACGCAAGGCAACTGAGAACAGTTTATTGTTTACACTGACCTGGAGCCAACTTGTGGTTCAGTGTCTTGCCCAAGGACATTTAGACAGTGGACAGTCAGTCAGGATTCAAACCCTTTGGCCACTAGACAACCCGCCCGACCAAGAGAGCCATGGCCGCCCCACTGAATTACCAAGTGACCAAAAAAATGTTACCAATCCTTCTCAAATTCAACATGTCTAAACAGTTGAAAATCTTTCTTGAAAAACTGTTGACCATTTCAATAATTTCCACTTTTTGAAGAAGTCCAGTTTTCTTGCATGAATTCCTAAACTTATGCAATGTTATTTATTTATTTGTGAATTCTTCATTTCTCAGCTAATGAAAATCATTGTAAATAAAAATTATTTGATGATTCAAAAATTCCAACTCTGTGAATGCAGTCGCATTTTCCTCGAGAAAATTCCAAAATTTATCGAGACAGTTTACGCATTGACCGCAAATTGACTTCAACATTTCTCAACTGATTCTAATCATTTTACCTAGAAATGTTTTTTAATCCTCAAAAAAAAAATCTTTTTCAAGGTGTCCACATTTTCCTTGATACGATTTCCAAACTGGAGAAACTTACAAATGTCCAGTAAATCCCTCTCCATTGCCGGGATTACGTTCCAGAACACCCCCAAAATCGGTGCTAAAGAAATACACCTCGGGAAAGTTATTTTCACATTTCCACGCTGATCTCAGTGGCCAACTGATTCCTGCAGGTTCCCCACAATAATTGCAATCAATAATCTGGTTTTGTTTTGGAATAGGTAAATGCACATTATTTGGAAATGTTTGTTATGCTGATGCTGACAAATGAACTGACATTTTGTGCATGTCAGCATGACCCCCACCCAAAAAAAAAAATCAACAATGTTTACCATGCACATGTATCCTGGTGTAAAAGTATATATTTTAGGGCTCCCCTAAAAAAAATCACCCTCCCCGAAAAAAATGCCGACACTATGTAATGTCAGGAGAACATAGTTTCATAGTTTCCTGATCATTTTTGTCAATTAAAAGGAAAGAAGCAAAGAACCAATTGCTGGTTCAAGAGAAAGCTCTAAAGCGCCTTCCACACAGATGAATTTATTTCTCAAGAAATGATCATCCATATCATCATCAATTCAGTCTGAGAAGAGTTGCTTTATTGCAGTCCTGCACCGCCAGCCCTCGCCGGCTTCTTTTTGCAGCGATCAATCCAGCTCATTCATAAACCGTAAACTAATCAAGAAGGCCACTTGAAGAGGGTTTACAACTGCATGTAATGTAAATACTGTGCGGTGGTAGTAATGAAGTGGAAGCGCTCCAGGTCATGTAGCTTTTATGAGATATTTGTTGTTGTTGTTGTTTTATTGTTCAAGTGAAACGAGGGCAAATTAGTAATGGGCATTTTACCAGGAGTTAGATCGATGCAGGACAATAAACAAGACTGCAGCGCCGCTTATTTGGCGGTTTCACAAAGCATCATGCTTTGTGTGATGTCACAATAGGAACAGTAAATGTAGTGTCTTTAAACAACAATTGTTAAGTATTGTTAATGGCTTGGGGCTGTTTATCCTTTTAGGTCGTTGGGTTTCTTGTGATAATTAGTGAATCCAGTGGAAATCTTGCAGCTTCTTTACTTCTGCCAAGCTTAAAAGCACGTGGTGGTTTTTCGCTGTTTGTTGTTTGGTTTTAGTGTGTTAGTTGGCTAACAGAGGTCGGTGCAAAAACTACATTTCCTAATTTCCAGGAAATATGGAAAGAAATGGTTAGATCTTGGCGCGGATCCAGATAAATAGGAAATGGATTTTTTTCATCATTGTAGTCCGCTTGCATTCAGGTGAGGCGAGGCAGTGATCCAGAGGATGGTGGATGAAGCGCGTGAGGCAGTTGGTAGCCTTTTTGAAATGCACATTACCACCACCTGCAAGACCGGAGTGGAACAGTGTCATCTGGCACCTGAGAAAGTTATGTTTGAGTTTAGCGCTCTGAGTGTCATTCTACCTCCCCCGCCCATTGTTTTGCGTCTTATTTTTAAACAGCTCTATTTGACAAATGTGACACGTGGGAATGTCAAATTAATAAGCAGCATACAATGGGATGGTTGAAATTCATGTTACAAATCAAGACCAATGCCTCTGATGTGTATAAATACCTGTCGCCTTATCTTTCTCGCTCTCTTTCTCTCTGTTGTTTGCCTGACAGTTTTTCCAGAGGACTCAGATGCAGACTGCGAGGCCCACCATCCCCACGAACACCCCCACCATACGGCCTGGCTCGCAGCCTCCCACGGCGGCCGTCTACCCTACTAATCAAGCAATCATGATGACCATGGCGCCCATGCCTTTCCCATCGCCACAGGCTGCACAGTACTACATCCCACAGGTGAGGCGGAGTGACTGTGTGTAACGTGTACTACAACCTGTTTTTTTCTCCCCTGCCCCATCCCTTATGTGCTTTTGGTTAATCTTCATTAAAAATTAGACTTTGTATGACTGTGTGTATTCAAAATCACGTTATGCCTTTTGAAATCTGGTGCATTATTGTGATCGATGTTGCAGAGGGTGTCTTAAAGGTTGAGTTTGCAGTATTCGGGCTGCTAGCAAGATTTGAATGTAGCCTTAACTCAGGGGTCCCCAACCTTTTTTGGCCCACGGACCGGTTTAAGTCAGACAATATTTTCAGGGACCGGCATTTAAGGTGTGGCGGATTAATACAACAAAATAATGTGGTATGAGCTGCATGAAAACTGTGGTGTTTTCGAAATATAATAATAAACACAAGGAGCGTCTAATCTGGTCGCAACGCTCTTATCGCTCTGGTAATGTTTAATGCCTTCAAAATACGATACAACGCAAATTCAAAGTGCATGAAAATGACGACTCACCACAGCCCCGAGCTTGATTTTCTGCAATCAGACAGTCCCATCTCGGGGTAATAGGAGACAATGACACCTCAAGTGTGTGGTTTATGTCCAGTCTACTTCGTAATTTTTGTTTTAGTCGC